TCAGGCATGTCTGAGGATATTACTACCTGTGTAAGAACATTTCTAGCTCTCTTTCATCCTGGACAAATCCGTGCTGCCTGTCTGAGGGTTCCTATTGTGCTAAAGCCCGTGATGAGAGACAGCTTGGAGAAGAAAGGGTTATTTAGACTCCAATTCCAGGTGACAGTCCATCACTGGGAGAATTCAAGGCAGGAACCTGAGGCGTGAGGTGGAGAACAGGCCACAGAAGAACACCGCTGACTGACTCCCCGAGACGGCTTTCCTGTGCCGTGTAGAACTGCGTGCCCAGTGCAGGCACCACCACAGTCTGCAGGGCTGTCTCAGGAATCCCTAGTTCAGAAAATGCCCCTAGACTTGGCTACAGGGCAGTCTTGGTAGGAATTTTTTCAATTATTTCTCTCTTTGCAAATTGGTCCTAGCTAGTTTCAAGTTCTATTCAGCCCAATGCCTCTTGTCATTTAAATTATTTATGGTTTTAATTAAATTAATGTGTGGTATCATTTGCTGATCTTTATTTCAGGAAATGCTGTCCTTCTCAGATGTGGCCATCGAGTTCTCTCCAGAAGAGAGGGAGTGTCTGGACCCTGCTCAGTGGAATCTGTACAGGGATGTGATGCTGGAGAATTACAGCCACCTTGAATTCCTGGGTGAGCATCTCCTCTATAGTGACTTCTTATTTCACCATCAACTTGTAGCTTACTCACTTTGTGTGGTTTCTCATGGGAGCATTTCAACAGTCAGTTTCATATCCTTCATTTTCAGAAAAATTGAGGAGATCACTATATTAAAAATCATTTCTGGGCTGGAGCGATGGCTCAGTTGTTCAGAGCACTGACTGCTCTTCTAGAGGAACTTAAGGAAAAGGAAACTACTACACTTACCTTCCTGCTGCCCAGATGTGAATAATCAGAAAGAAACTATGTTAATTACAGCACTGTTTGGCCTGTGAGCCCAGGCAGGAAATCCCACATCACCGGCACTCCTATGGCAGCTCACAATTGTTTGTAAACCTAAGGTCTGACAACCTCATTTTATGTGATGTTTTGATTGTGTTGTGTTCTAACAAATAAAGCTTGGTTGGAGTCAGAGGGTAGAACTAGCCACCAGCCCACCATAGAGACATGGAAGACTGTAGAGAGGGGAACAGGATGTGGAAAGCTGGGCTGAGACGGGATCTCTGCCCTTTTGGATGGTAGGATGGAAGAGGTAGGCACTTCTCTGATCTTTCATTTTCTTAGCCGATATCTCACTCCTGATTTTTTTATTGATAAAGATTAATTAGATTAACAAATCAGCCTCACACAGACATACATGGAGGAAAAACACCAATGTATAGGAAAAGTTAAAATAAATAATGACTTAAAAAAATGAATCATTTTACTGTTTGCTTCCCGATGTGTTTGACTCTGTTGGATGTATGTTTTCTTCAATATAGTGGGACTTTTAAAAATTTGGTGGCAGGAGACATGGAGCACACTTTTTACTTGAAGTGTTTTACAATTCAGTTGTACTGTTTTTTTCCATTGAAATGAAACTCAGAATCTGATGTAAATTCCTTTATGAAGTTAGGTTTTTTTTTTCTTTTCTTTTGTATTTTTTTTTTAATTTTTAGAGACAGAGTTTCTCTCCAGTTTTGGAGCCTGTCCTGGAAATAACTCTTGTAGACCAGGCTGGCCTTGAACTCACAGAGATTTTCCTGCCGCTATCTCTTGAGTGTTGGAATTAAAGGCGTGAGCCACCATCATCTGGCTCCTTCATGTGTTGTAGTGATCCTGTCTGAAAACACTTAAGGAACTGATTGTCTGCAATCATTTGTCACCTCATCTCTGTCCTTACGAGCCATGTATAGAAGGAGAAATGTCAGTTCCGAATAAAAGAACACATAAAAAACTTCTCTTTATCTATACACAGGTCTTGCTGTCCCTAAGCCACACCTGGTGACATTTCTGGAGCAAAGACCAGAGCCTTCAGATGGGGAGAGACAAGCAGCAGCCACCGTGCACCCAGGTGTGTAGGAATGAGGGGTTCAGGGGCAGAGCTGAGATCCTGAGATCCAACAGAAATTCAAGCTTTCTCCTTTATCCTGAAACATAATATTGTGGGAATCATTCTTTAGGTCTCTCCTTGTCTTTGCTGTCAAAGCACATGTCTCAGTTTTATGATGGTTTAAGTCTCTTAAACTTTGGATTTCCCCAATTACAAGCTATGCTTCTACTTACAGTGACCTCTAAGGAGTTTCTCTGTAGCCCTAGCAGTCCTGGAGCTGGCTTTGTAGACCAGGCTAGCACTGAACTCAAAAAGATCTTTCTGTCTGCTCCTGAGTGCCGGATTTAAAAGTGTGTCACCACTCCTGGCCCAATATCCACTTACTTTAAGTACATCTGATTTTAATATTATTCCATATTAAAGGAAAAATTGAACTTAAATTTGTTTCAGTCTCTTACTTTAGGATTACCTCTGATGACAGGTACAGAGGACTGGATAATGGAAGGTAGAAATGTTTTTCTCCTTCTAATATTGTGTTTGAGTCCAGCCTGGTCTAGATAGTGAGTTACAGGAGAGCAAGGTCTTCATCGAAAAACCTTGTCTTCTAAAACCAAACCAAACAAAAAAGGAAAGAAGTAATTTTTTCATATCTTTATTGTCTTAACCAAATTTGCCTCATGCATAAGTAAATCTGAAGGGTTTTTTTGTTTGTTTGTTTTGTTTTGTTTTTATCATGTTTCAATATGTTTCAGGTGTATATTTTCTGGTCTTTCAAATAAAATGTAAAATAATGTCCTGAATTTGAACTATGAATTTTGTCTTTATGTAGACCATCTACTTGTGCAGCATATCTTTGGTACCCCCAAAGTAAAACTATATTGTAAATGCAGTAAATGTTTGCATTAGACTATGTCTCACATTTACAAAGTCAAAAATAATTTTCTTTTCTTTTTTTTTTTTTTTTTTTT